TGCGGCGGCCAGGAGAGCAGCGACATCATCGTCGCCGTCCGACTCGTCGTCTTCGACAGGAGCAGGAGCAGGCACAGCCTCATCATCGGACGAAGCACCGGCGGCCAGGAGAGCAGCGACATCATCGTCGCCGTCCGACTCGTCGTCTTCGACTGGGGCAGGAGCAGGCGCAACCTCATCGTCTGACGAAGCACCGGCAGCAGCGAGCATCGCAGCGACATCGTCGTCGCCGTCCGACTTGTCGTCATCGACAGGAGCAGGAGCAGGCACAACAGTCTCATCGTCTGACGAAGCACCGGCGGCCAGGAGAGCAGCGACATCATCGTCGCCGTCCGACTCGTCGTCATCGACAGGAACAGGAGCAGGCACAGCCTCATCAGCGGACGAAGCACCGGCAGCAGCGAGCATCACAGCGACATCGTCGTCGCCGTCCGACTCGTCGTCATCGACCGGGGCAGAAGCAGGCACAGCCTCATCGTCTGACGAAGCACCGGCGGCCAACAGAGCAGCGACATCATCGTCGCCGTCCGACTCGTCGTCTTCGACAGGAGCAGGAGCAGGCGCAACCTCATCATCGGACGACGCACCGGCGGCCAGGAGAGCAGCGATATCATCGTCGCCATCCGACTCGGCGTCTTCAACCGGGGCAGGAGCAGGCGCAACCTCCTCATCAGATGGCGCACCGGCGGCCAACAGAGCAGCGACATCATCGTCGCCGGACTTGTCGTCATCGACCGGGGCAGGAGCAGGCACAACAGCCTCATCGTCTGACGAAGCACCGGCGGCAGCGAGCATCGCAGCGACATCGTCGTCACCGGACTTGTCGTCATCGACCGGAGCAGAAGCAGGCACAGCCTCATCATCGGACGACGCACCGGCGGCCAGGAGAGCAGCGACATCATCGTCGCCGGACTTGTCGTCATCGACCGGGGCAGGAGCAGGCACAGCCTCATCATCGGACGAAGCACCGGCGGTAGCGAGCATCGCAGCGACATCGTCGTCACCGGACTTGTCGTCATCGACCGGAGCAGGAGCAGGCACAGCCTCATCAGCGGACGAAGCACCGGCAGCGAGCATCGCAGCGACGTCGTCGTCGTTATCTGACTCATCAGCGTCAGTGGGGGCAGGAGCAGGCACGGCCTCTTCATCGGACGAAGCATCGGCAGCAGCGAGCATCGCAGCGACGTCGTCGTCACCGTCGGACTCGTCGTCATCGACAGGAACAGGAGCAGGCACAACAGCCTCATCGTCGGACGAAGCACCGGCAGCAGCGAGCATCGCAGCGACATCGTCGTCGCCGTCCGACTTGTCGTCATCGACAGGAGCAGGAGCAGGCACAACAGCCTCATCATCGGACGAAGCACCGGCGGCCAGGAGAGCAGCGATATCATCGTCGCCATCCGACTCGGCGTCTTCAACCGGAGAAGGAGCAGGCGCAACCTCCTCATCAGATGGCGCACCGGCGGCCAACAGAGCAGCGACATCATCGTCGCCGGACTTGTCGTCATCGACCGGGGCAGGAGCAGGCACAACAGCCTCATCGTCTGACGAAGCACCGGCGGCAGCGAGCATCGCAGCGACATCGTCGTCACCGGACTTGTCGTCATCGACCGGAGCAGAAGCAGGCACAGCCTCATCATCGGACGACGCACCGGCGGCCAGGAGAGCAGCGACATCGTCGTCGCCGTCTGACTCGTCGTCTTCGACAGGAGCAGGACCAGGCACAGCCTCATCATCGGACGAAGCACCGGCGGCCAGGAGAGCAGCGACATCATCGTCGCCGTCTGACTCGTCGTCTTCGACAGGAACAGGAGCAGGCACAGTCTCATCATCGGACGAAGCACCGGCAGCAGCGAGCATCACAGCGACATCGTCGTCGTCATCCGACTCATCGGCGTCGGTGGAAGCAGGCGCAACCTCTTCCTCATCGTCTGACGATGCACCGGCAGCAATCAGAGTTGCCACATTGTTGTCGTCAACATCAGACACAGTATCATCGACCGGAGCAGAGGCTGCCTCCTCCCCATCGGACAACCCATCGGCAGCCAGCATCGCAGAGACATCACTGTCGTCACCAGCTCTGCCGCTAGCCACAGGGGCAGCCGCCGACTCGCCACCATCTACAGGCACAGCCACCATGTTTGCGCCAGAATTGTCCTTGGCCACCGACACGACGTCGACCTTCTTGACAGTGGCCAACCGGGCGCCGCAAGCGGCACCGCTGACTCTTCACCCACAGCCACTGGTGACAGCCTCTCAACCACGACTGGCGCAGGTGCGGCCGCAGACGTCGGACTCTCCACGATAGCAGGCTCGGGCACTCGCAACGGCATCGAAGGAACAGTGAGTGAGGTGTGAAGAACATCGATTTGCGTCCGAGCCCGCGCCAGCTCGCGCGCCTGGTCTTCGATCGTCAGCCGTGCCTGGTACAGCTCGGCCTTCAGCGCCCGGATCTCGTCGTCCTTGTCGCGAAGCGCTGCATTTTGCGCCGCCACAAGCCGGTTGTACTCGGCCTGCGAGTCGACTAGCAGCCGCGTCAGCGACTCCTCGCGGGTCTCTCCACGCGGCTCGACCGGCCGCCGCCGCTCCACACCCCGCGCCCGCCGGTTTGCCGCCTGCAGCTCCTCGAGCTTGCGCATCGAGTCGTCGAGCCGCGACTCAACCTCTCGGTACTGCTGCGCGTTGACGCCCAGCCGTGCATCTGCCGCCGCCACCTTGCTCTCCAGCTCAGCGTACTCGGCCCGCCGCTGCCCGACAATCTCCTCCAGCGGCGACGCCGATCGCCGCGGGCTTCGCCGCGACGGGCTCTGTCGTGCCGCTGCCAGCCGCGCACGCTGCTCCGCCGACGCCATCAGCGCATCGTTTGCTCGCTGCACCAGCGCATCTGACTGCCGCGCAAGCGGCGACCGCGTCGGCGATCGTCCGCCGCTCCGAGGCGCACGCGGCGGCAGCTCGCTAGTTTCCCGGCGAGGCGAGCTCCCGGAAAAGTACGGCGAGGTAAAGACCGAGGCCGGTTGCGGCGGAACCAGCAGCTCATCGCTCGGCATCACGATCGGCCGTGCTACCCCGCGGCTGCTGCTCCGCCACCGCCCGCCGCTCGCCATCGGCGCCGACGTCCTGGCCGGCCCGCCGTGGCTGCCCGTCCAGTCCGTGCCCCGTCCCCGTGCCCAGTCCGTGTCCCGTCCCCGTCCCCCGTCCCTCTTGTAAGTCATCCACTCCCCCCCCCCCCCCCTCCCCTGCTCTTGCCCCCCCTCTCCCCACTGCTGTGCGTACCCGCTTCCGCTCGCCACCGTCTGGCGCAGAATGTGGCGCGACTCGGCTGACAGCTGGGCCGGCGAAGGCGTTACCTGGGCCAAGGCGGTTGTCCGGGCCCGCGAGTGGGCCGACGCCGCCAGCACGCTCTTGGCCCTGGCAAGCAGGTCTGCAGTGCTCCGGTTGCCATTGCCGTACATGCCTACCGCCTCCGTCTGCGCGTCGAGTGCCAGTGCCAGTGCTAGTGCCAATGCCCAAGCCAAGGCCGAGAGCTGCACCAAAGCCAATGGCCAATAGCCAACAGCCGCCGGCCGCTCCCCCTCCTCCCCCCACCC